CAACTGACTTTCAAGCTCATGACGGTCCCTAGGGTCCTGGCTACCAGGCTCCTAAGTGTAAGAAATGAATGTTCTGTTGCTTTGGCTGGCCCTGGTGTTGGCTCAATGGGACAGTAATATGAGATTCTCAGGCCAAGTGTCTGAAAACCTCAAGGCTAAGGTCCCTCTAGCCCTGGCACCACCTGCTCATCCCACCCCACCCCCACCCCGCCACGCCCAGTTCACTGGGGATGCCCCAGGCAGGTATTCAATGCCAGCTCGTTGATAACGGCAACCACTATCCCTCACACTGCCTTGACCCATAATGCCCTGGGAAAAGGCCATCAAATCTAAGTTCAGATGTTCCCTTTGCCCTGGCCATGTGAGCCAGGTCACTTCCATCCCTTCACCAAACAAAAATCTCAAGCAAGCCATGGGTGTCTTCTGAGGTTTCCCAATGGTCACAATCAAGAAGAGTATAAAGAGTTCGAGGCCAGGCTGGACCGACAGCCTCCAAAACAATACAGAGAAACTCTGTCTCGTAAAAACCAAAAAAAAAAAAAAAAAGAGTATAAATAATGTGGGATGTCAATGTGGGTGACCTTTTATTTAGCCACTACTTCCAAACAGTATCATTCTAATATACTGTAGGATAAAGGGGGGGGGCTGCTTACTTCTGGGGTCTGAGCCCTGTTGTGTTTTACACTACGGTGCGCTCGGTGGAACATACCTGCCTACAAACCATCAGGAGGTCAGGGCAGTCAGTGTCCTCCTGGGGACAACCCTCCCCACCCCACAGGGGCCTGCTTGCCACGCCCCGGAAGGGCAACAAGTTCATGCGCTGAGGAGCCGCCCTCCCTCTCCAAGGGCCCTCCATTCTCAGATGACCTAAATGGGTCAGGAGGGCTTAAGTTGCCCTCCTGTTGTACCACGGGCGGGGGGGGGCCCTAGGGACACTGTCCCCATAACAAAGCTCACCCACAGAGCCAGCAGCCTTGGTCTGCTCACGTGAGCTCAGATTAGGGGCGGCCCTTATGCCTGGTCATGTCTGAGACCAGCACATGATGGGCAAAACCCTGCAAGCTGGAGCCGGGGACTCTGAAAAGCACAGGCCAGGCCAGGTTAGTGGGTCACGGGCACTGGGTTCAGGAGGAACTGGGCTTCACAAATGCTCAGAATCTTCTGGGTGCTCTGGGCTCTTTGGGGGGGGCCGTAGCGTTCCATCTGCCTTTTGGCACCTTTCAGCCTTCATTCTGCCACACTGCTCCCCAGCTCGCCCCACAACGCGTCTGCCCTTCAAAGACACACTTTCTGCTTCCTGGCCTCAGGGCCTTGGGACACTCTGTTCTCTCGGTCTCCTTCCCTGGGCTCTCCTCTGGGGAAGACTTTGCTGAAAGTCCTGACTTGGTTATGGTTGACTGTTAGCAGTTCCCACACTTGCAAGGGAACCCAAATTTCTAGCAGGCTTTCCCTGGTAGTTTACAGATATCCCAACACATATACTCCCATGCCTCACCTCTGCCCCTTCCCCCATCTCAGAGCAGAGCTGGGCTGTACTTAAAATGCATCACCCCAAAGTTCATTCTCAGTCAATGGAAGACACTAGTGGCTCGGAAGAGCCCTGGGCTACCACCCTCCCTGGATTGTGGGAAACAGTCCAGGACAGGTTGGGGAGCAGAGGGTGCCGAGCATGGGATGCCTTGTCAGTAGTGGGGAATCTAAAGACTGTCCTGACCTTCTCAAAAGAACAAAGCCGCTAGCACGCTCAGTGTGCCGGACAATACTAGTGAGGTGGTCATCATGGGAGCATTGAGTGTCCCGTCCATGGAGGTAATCGAGCCACTGCAAAGGCGTTGGAGGGGTAACTTTGCAGAGAGGCTTTGCTCTCTTAACAGGGTTTCCCTTCAACATTTAAGTTTTAGGACCAGCCCAAGGTCACAGGCAAGGCCTAAAGGGGGCTGTCCCACCATCCAGACCATTGCTCCTCTCAGGGACAATCATTAATTGGCCCTGCTTGAGAGGTTGCTCCCACGAGAGTGCCCCGGCTGCCTGCCAGCTCCCAGCCGGGCTTCCGGGCGTGTCCAGGCACCCAGCAAGCCTCTCAAAGTGGCCAGCTCACAGTACCGCCTGCTTGCTGCTCCTGACTCCCAGCCACTGAGAACGGAGAAGGAGCCTTCTCACATAGGCAGAGCCCCCATGGTTCCGGCCCCTGCTCCATCGGCTCGGCCTGCGGCCAGAGCTGCCCTCCTGCTTGAGTGCAGCAGGAAGCTACAGGAGGTTAAGGCAGGGCAGCAGGACCCAGGCTGGGCTCCAGAAAGCCTGCCCATCCCAGGGCAGGAAGGGCTAGGGACAGGCACAGGCTGACCCAGCTTGAGGGTGTGGAAAAGCCCCCCCAGGAGGGAGGGAGATGAGCTACAAAGATATATGGCAGAGGGAGAGGCCTCCTTAGGCTGAGAAATGAGACAGGAAGGGGTCTGGCCTGCTTGGGCGGACGGAAAAGTCAAATGTAGCCGGGGCTCCGGTGGGAGGAAAGCAAGGCGAGGGGCTCTGGGCTAGGAAGTCAACCTCAGCTCAGGGCAGTGGAGAGGTACTGCAAAGATTAAACGTTGCTAGCGTTGTTGTTGTTGGCAGTGGATTTGAGAGTCTCATACAGACTAGGTGGGCCAGTAGCTGGCAAAGGTGGGGGCGACAGGGAGCTACTGCAGCACCCTGATCTAAGGGGTGCTGGGGAATCGAACCCAGACCCCTTGGCATGCTAGGCTAGCTGTACACCCACAGAGAAGAAAGGGAAGGACACAGGGTGGCTTCTGTCTGGCCCGGCAATTCAGTAACTGAGGCTGAGGAGGCCAGGGGACACTCACAGCTTCCAGGGGAGGGCTGGAGAAGAGGTCCAGCAGGGATGGAAGGGCGGAGGGGCGAAGAGTGGAAATGGCAGACACCAGGAGGTCAAGTGGATGGGGGAGCTGGGGAGAGCGCATTTGAGGAGCCCAACACCACGCAGAAGAGCCAAAGTATCTGTGGGTCAGGGAGACTCAGGACACCAGGCGACAATGTGCTGTCCGGGTACTGTGAAGAGAGTCATCCAGTGTGCCTGGGGATGGACAATACCTTATCCAGGTCAAGGCAAGGGACAGCTAGAGATGGAAGAGAACCCACGTTGATGAGTCAAGGTGGAAGCCAAGGAACGGGAACGTCCAGCAGCACAGGCCACTAATGACCAGGAAGGGGACAGGGTGGGCTGGGGTACGAGGGAGCCTGCCGAGGACTCAGATGTTCTTGAAGGCAGGACGAAACGCCAGGTTCTCCCGAGGAGAAGCACCTGGGGCAGGAACGGTCCTCTCAAGAGCAGGGGACACAGACAGTGGGGAGTACAAACTGTTGAGCAACAGCCATATTAGCCTGGTCCCCGAGGGGGCCAGGAGCAGGAGGGGCACACAGAGCAGCCCTCTCCACCCCGCCTCGGTAGCCTCCCTTCTGTGGGCAGAACAGTGCCCCTCCCGGCTGCTGGTGGGCCCCAAGGTCACTTCCCAAGGACTAGCTATGATGTTCTTCGAAAGGTGACACTGTGGAGTAACAGTGGGACCAGCTCTGCTCCTGAGAGGACAGCATGGAGACACTGGGACACTGGGGAAGGCTTGGGCCTGTCACATGTCTCTTTCCCTGTGTCGTGTTCCCGACGTTCAAGCCCACCCACTCCTCTGAGGCTTGCCCTGATTGCCACACGAGGTGGAAGACTCTGGGTCTACACCCTGGGCAGGCTGAGTGACAGCAGATGACCTTATAACATCAGTTTCTTCCCTGTGGGTCGGGTGCTTGCAGATGCCCCACAGAGCACCTGGGGAAGTGGGTGGGAAGCCACACAAGGCGGGCACCTCTGCCCACTACTGCCCTCCCCGCCATCCCCCAGCTGGCACCTGGAGGGAGTGATCTGCACTTGGGTGGCAGAAGCCCCAGGGAGGGGGCGGTGCCACACTCCTGGCTGCACTAGGTGCCACCCACAGGCTGCTCACCACAAAGGGGCCCGCGGGAGTTTTCCCCTACACCATCCCAGCCCATGCTGGCATTTGCAGCCATATAGAGTCAGCTCCTGCTTGGGTCCTGCGGCAGCTGCAGCCCTCTCAGGTATGGGGGGCACCGCGAGCCTGAAGGTTAGGCAGCCAGCAAGTCTTGGGCTGTCCTCCCATCTAACCTACAGATACTCTACAGGGCAGCTGGAGTCACTGTCCCTGCTCACATGCAGCTGGCAGCATTTATTGAGCACCTTCTGAATTCAGGCATTGAGATCCAGCAGTAGCCTACTGGCTCATTGCTCACACTACAAATGAGGAAACTGAGGTTCAGGGTAGCCCTGAGAGACACAGCCAAGGTCACACAGCTGGATTCAGATCTACATACTTGCTGGAAATTTCCTTTAAGCCTCTTTCTAGTCCTGAATGGGCTCCTCCCTGGGCTTTATTTTCCTTATCTGTGAAATGGGCACCATGTAGCCAATGCAGTGCTTCAAGGGCAGGCACCCCCATGCAGCCCCCAAGGGCTGTGCCATGAGCAGTCACCCCACCTGACACGATCACTGTCTTCAAATGGAAGACCACCCCTTCTTCACCCAGATGTGCCCCTGCACACGGCACCCTTCCTTCAGGGTCGGAGTTGTCACTCCTGAACACCCTGCAGGCTCTGACTGCTGGAGTCCCTCAGCAAGGAGCAGGTGACATCTCATGGTCCTCCCTGGGTGAGCTGCAGTGCTCAGCCTATATCCAAAGCCTCACACGTTCTTCCCGCTTTCCAGACGACAGTCACAGGAAGTAGAGCAGGGGCCTGTGTACTTGAAGCTACGCACAGGACAGCCGCTGCACTGACTCCCCAGCCTCCGCTTCTGTCTCCCTGGGTCACTGTTCCCCCACCCCACAGCCCAGAGCTAGGATGCTCATCAGACACACCGGCTGTGCCGGCCGCCTGGCCTGGACTTGGGCTGGGTGGTGGACGACCTGGCCCCCAGCCCACAGGCCCAGAGACACCCTTACCTACTCGGAGCTCTTGCCCGAAGACGGTCTTCTCGCCCAGGGCGGAGCAGTTCCAGCGGCCGAATCGGAACTGGTGCTGGCACTCATTGATGCCCATCTGCGCCCCCTCCCCGATCACAATGATGGCATCGGGTCGGCTCTGGCAGATGGCGCGCTGCCGTGGGGCCAGGCCAGGAATCTTGTTGCAGATGATGTTGGCTCCTAGGGCCACCACGGACGACAGTGCTCTGTGGAGGCAGAGAGAAGACGGGCGTTGAGAACCCTCAGGCAGTCCGCTGTCCCCCACTGGCACTGAACCCCACCTTCCGCTGAGCCCCACCATTCCTGGAAGTGTTAGAACCACAGACCAGTTTACACCTGCAGAAGCCACGGTGCCTGCGCCTGAGTCAGACACACACGTTCTCCAGAGCAGACAATGTCCCACCTGGGATCCGACAGCCTTGGCACAGACCCCGGTTCTTTTGGAGTGACACTCCCAACTCCCAGACCACTGGGCTTTCCTATCTTCTCCTTCTAAGCCCCCAGGAACTCAGCAGCCAGCTCCTACCCGTGTGTGACCTTGAGAAGACACCCCATTCAGGGAATGGGTACAGACACCTGCTGCCCCCAGCATGCAAACAGATACACCTGAAATAGTGTGCACCCACACACACACAGACTTCCAGATGAGTGGGTGCGTTAGGAAGAGACGGGATCTGACGCAGGTGAGCACCTACTGTGTGCCGGGCTGGACTCAGAGCCGTGGCTGCCTTTGTAATGACTCCTGGCAACTCCCAAGGAGAGAGCCTCTTGCCAAGTTCACTCTGAGCCTGGAGTATTATCAACACAGTTGTTTGTTTTTGTAATGAGGGGAAATTCACATAACATAACATTAACCATTTAAAAATGTACAGCCCCGTGGCCTTTAGCACACACAGTATTGTACAACCTCCGCCTCTATCAAGTTCCAAGCTTTTCTCAACATCCCAAAAGGAAACTCTGTACCCAGGAGCAGGCACTCCCAGCCCCTCCTCCCCCAGGCCCCGGCAGCCACTAATCTGTCTCTGTTCCCACGGGGCTGCCGCTTGCTTGGACAGTCTGTGGAATCTTACAACACATGTGGTCTTTGGGGCCGGATTCCTTCCACTCAGTGAAATGCTTTCAAAGTTTATCCAAGTCACAGTATTCATCGGTGGGTGCCTCGTTCCTTTTAAAGGCTGAATAGTATTCCGTTTGCACAACGGGCCATCACCTGTTGACCTACTCCCCTGGACCGGCACCTGGCCCCATCTCTCAGGTATGGCCATGAAGGTGCCCATGTCTGTCACTGTCTGAGCATCTACTACTGGGAGATGCTGGCATCTGGCAATCCTCTGACCTCCTGAGGAACCGCTAAAAGGTTTTCCTGATTCCATTTTACTGATCTTTTGGTTCTAGGTACTTGGAGAAGGAATATCAAGAGGGAGCAGGGAGCTAGTCTTCAGGCTAATGGCCGGGGCTGGGCTCAGCTGGTGGAAATCTGGCCTTCCATGCACGAACCTCAAACAAGGTAGCATGTGAACTACATGTGGTGGCTCACGCCTGTAATCTCAGCACCCTGGAAGTGGAGGCAGGAGACTCAGGGGTTCAAAGTCATTCTTAGCTACTTCAAGTTTGAAGTCAGTCTGGGCTACAGGAGACCCTGTGCAAAAACAACAACAACAACAAAAAACTTTCCAGCTTTAAAACAACAGACTGAGTCAGGCGATGGTGGCACATGCCTTTAATCTCAGCATTCTGGAGGCGGAGGTGGGTGGATCTCTGTGAGTTCAAGGCCAGCCTGATCTACAGAATGAGTTCCAAGACAGCCATGGTTACTTGTAGAAACCCTTTCTTGAAAACACAAATAATAATAGTGATGATAATAATAATAGTGATATTGAGGGTGATGATGATGGCAAAACAGAGTTGGGTTGCTTAGCATGGGAGCAGTGGTGAAGAGGGACTGCCAGGGGCCCCCAGAGCTGACAGCTAGGCCCTGGGCCCTTGAGGGCCCTTCTCTGCCTGTGGCAGTTCTTGGAGAACTCTGTGTTTTTCCAGGCTACCATATTTCCCAGGCAGCTGGGCAGTCCCCGTGTGGCCTGAGCCCCCAGCATGTGCTGCCACCTCAGTGACACTCAATCTCTGTGACCCGCCCGCCTGCTCTACCTGCTAATCTGGCCAAGAGCCCCCCTGGGTCTCCTGTGACACAATGGGGTGAACACGCCCCAGGCTGGCGTTGAGGAAGGGCATCTAGGCGGGTGGGGCTGGGAGCGGGTTGGAATCTGGGGAATCTAGCCCAAAGTAACTGTAGAATCCTCGGAAACCGAGCTGGGGAAATGAGCTGGATGGGAACTCCACCAGGCATCACCGGCAAAGCAGTCACTTTGGTACCAGACCTCAAGGGCGCTGTGTTCCTTGTTCCCAAGTTCCTCCAGTAGTAGGCATGGACCGCAAAGCCTCAACTGCCTACCTGGAAGAGAGCTCAGATCAACATGCTAAACTGTGGGGGACCTTAAAAGGACACAGGGTGAACTGGGGGCAGCAAGAAAACATTGCAGTGGCCTCGGGCCCACTCTCCAACCTATAGGCAGCTCCTTCCACCACCCAGATCTGATCACACCATGTCCCTTGCTCGAAAGTCATTCACAGCTCCCCATTGCCCTCTGCCTAGAGATATAAGCCTGGGGGATTGGCTCTGAGGATCACTCCTTTCTATGTCCACTGTCCACCTGGACTGTCCGCACATCCTTCTGTTAGCTGCTGTTCCTCCTCTCTGGCTCCATCTGGAAAACTATTCCTCCTTCCAGGCTCATCCCTTCCACAAGTCCTGGCATCGAGGAGAGGAACAGTGAGCATTTGTCCTTAGAGTCTAAATCACCCCATCAATGCCCTGCTGTTACCACCAATGCCGGGTCCTAGTTGAATTTGGGGCCCAAGAGTGACCTGCAGAGGAAGGGGCCTCTTCAGCTCCCCCAGAATGTGTGCATGAAGGAACAAGTAGACGACGCCCGAGAGGCACACAGGAAACACTGTTGGAATTCAGACAGCAATCCCGTTTTGTAAAGGATTTGACAAAGACACGGGAGAAGCAAGCAGCAGGTCCAGTGAGATGCAACCTCACCCACCCTTCCAGGAATGCAAACCACTGCACACCCACCAGGATCCCTGTGAGCACAACCGAGAAGCTATAAAACACCACGGGCTCTCGAGAGAGGAGGCAGAGCAGCAGGGCCCTCCCGCACCGCAGTCACTGTGGGGCCACAGTTTGGCAGAGAGTTAAAAGTCACACACAAAGCTGCCCGGAAATTCCATTTCTTGGCACAGATCCAAAAGAATTGAAGACAGGTGTCGAAACAAAACCTTCTGTACAAAGCTCCCAGCAACACTATTCACAGTAGCCAGAGGATGGAAATAACCCAATTCTCCGTCGACGGATGAGTGGCTGAAAACAAAATGTGGTATGTCCATGCCATGGAATATTATTCAGCCATAAAAAGGAATGAAACATGCATTCATGCCCCAATATGGGAAAAGTTCAAAAACAGTATGCCATGAGAAAGAAGGCAGACACAGAATCCCAGATGTCACCTGAGTCCATTTTAAAGTAATGTTCAGAATGGGCAAAGCCACAGAGACTGAAGACATGTGGGGAGGAGGGGATGGAGACAGATGGCTGTGTAACCATAGGATTCCCATCTGGGTGAGGAGCTATGTAGGCTGATGGTGGTGTGGTGCTATGAAAACACGAAATGGCAGCTTTCTGTTCTTTAAGGTGAATGGAGCAGTAAATTTCATTTGGAGTGCCTCTCCACCACAATTTCTAAGACAGCTGCAATTCACACACTTCAACGTAAAGGACCCCCTGGAAGTCGGCTTTCACCAAATGTGGGCGTTGGTGCTGCCAGATCAGGAATTCCAGCCCCTCAGCCCAGTTTGTGGCTGCACACTCTCGCCAGTGTGTGGATCACAAACTATCAGGAGCGTAGCCCACGTGACCACGTACCGTCACAATCTGAAGATGACATCAAGCTTGTTTTTCTATGCACTGATCAGGAATCCCACTGGCAGTACTCAACACTACCCTCTGAGGCCAGCCTCTGTGGGGTCTCCCTACACGCCAACCCTGCAAGGACTCTGCTTGGCAGGGGTGGGGGCGAGTGCTTAGAGAGGCTGGGCAGCTTGGGAGGCCTCCAGTCCCACTCAGAGCCAGCACTCCATTTCCAGAGCTCACGGGGGGGGGGGGGCTGAACTATACACTAGGAAACCATGAAGACTTGGTAAACCCAGGGAGAGACCTGGGAGTGGGGTGGGGATCAGACCTCCTTCCAAAGGTTCTATTTATTATTTATTTAGTGTGTGTGTCTGTGTGTTGTGTGTGTGTGTGATTGTGTGTCTGTGTGTGTGTATAGAACACGTGTGGAAATCAGAGGGACAGCTTGTGAAAGTCATTTCTCCCCTTCCACCATGTGGGTCCTGTGTTGTCCATCCTTTTTTTTTTTTTTTTTTTTTTTTTTTGGCCAGGGTCTCAACTTGTAACCCAAGCCAACCCTGAACTCACTATATAATCCTGCCTCAGCCCCTTTAATTGGGGTTCTAGGAGAAAGCCACCCTATCGGGCTAGACCTGTTTGGAGTTTGTTCTCAAAGCCCAATCTGAGCCACCTCCTTGCTGAAAAGCCTTTATTCATTCATTCATTCATTCATTCATTCATTCATTCGGGCTTATGGTGTACAGATCTGGTTGTAGTTCTCCATACCCTAACCCCTGGCACTGACTGATCAGATCCCAAGATCCTAGAACAAGCTAGACCTTGGCAGATCCAAGCCTTTTGGGACAGGGGGTAGGCTACAGGCAGAGCCCATGAGTGGGAAACATGGTTAAAATTCTAAAAACTAAGCAATCAGTGCCAGCAGGAGGCTAGTGGCATGTGGGGCCTTGCCGAGGCTGTTGGCAGTGGGGTGAGAGCATGGCTGGCACCTTAGCAGGCCACCCTGCAGGTGGGCCCCGGCTCTCATCCCACATTGGGAAAACCCTCTTCCCAGCCAGCAGCTGCCTGCTCAGGTGTCCAAGTGGCCAGACCAGGGAGCCCTGTGTGCAGAGAAGCCTGGCTGGCAGCGGTGTGTGCCTTTGTGGTTGACTTTTTCCAAGGAAAAATTCTGTTCTGAACTTGTCCCTCAAACTGTTCAGGGGCCTTAGGACATGGGCAAAGGGCCAGGAACAGTGGGCC